TTTTTTGGGGTGGAACCAGGGATTGAACTCAGGCCCTTGCACTTGCCAGGGAAGTGCTTATTCCACTGAGCCATCTCCCCGGCCCCCTTTATAAAACTTTTTACATTTTCTTTACCACAGGAATTCCTTATAACCCTCCAGACCAGGGAAGTGTTGAATGTGCTCGCCATACTCAAAATTCAAATACAAAACAAAAGGGGAAGGGCCGGCCAAATAGCTCAGCAGATTAAAGTGCCTGCAAGCAGGCACAGAGGCCAGGGGTTCAATCCCTGGGCCTGCCCTGCTGGCCCAACTCCCAGAGAGTGCTGTGATGGCAATTGTGACTGGGCGTGGTGGTGCCTGCATGTAATCCCAACTCTTGGGAGGCTGTAAACAGGTGGATCACTACAAGTCCAATCTAGTAGTCAGACTCTGAACACCCTATCGACCCTTCCCTAAAATACAGAAAAAGGGGAGGAGGCTAAGGAGCTAGCTCAGTCGCATAAGCACCTGCCTGGCAAGTGCAATGCCCTGAGTTCAATGCCCAGTACCACAATAAACGATACAAAACAACAACAAAAAGGGGGATCCTTCCCTACACAATTCACATTTCATAATAGAATTCACTTGTCATTGTATACTCTTAAGTTTTAAATACCACTAGGGATGGGACTATAGTATCAGAAAGACAACTCAATAAGGTAAAGGAAAAGAGGTTGGAAGGGTCTTTTGGAGAGATCTTCATGCTGGACAATGGAAGAGGCCGAAGCCACTACTCACTTGGGGTAGAGAAGTCTGCTTGTCTCTCCAGAGAAAGCTTGTCTTACCAGAGCATGCTGTCTGGCTGATCATGGGCTCAGACCCAGAGGAGGAGAAGGGTCCCCTTTCAAGAGGCTGATACTCAGTCCTGTGTCATTGATGCCTTGGAGACTGGGCCACAGCTAGTAGGCAAAAATGGGGCTAGACTCCACCAGGCGTCAATTAAAGAAATTTATCTAGGATGCCCAGGAAACCACTAAGAAGTGGCTCTGAGCAGGATTTATATTAACCAATTGGCTTTTCATATTTACTTGTGAGCTTTCCCAAGGTCCAGTGTAGCAGATTCATAGAAATGAACCTCTATGAGTTGCTGGTCCCATTGAGACATGTAATGGTGTACCAGTGAAGCCATGAGGCCTCAAAGGACAAGACAAGACCACAGCTAAGAACACCTGGCTCCAACCTCAATTATCTAGATAAAGACTGTAGCTGAAGGCATCTCACTGGTGAAAGCCTGCCTGTTAATTTCTCCCAAATTAACAGAATATATTACTTGGAAAAGCTCTTGAAGGGACTCCCAAATCATACCCAGATTCATGCATCTTCTTCAGTATTCCCCTCCTTTGTTTGATAACATAATAAGTACAGGTTGCCTAGAGAAGTTCTTTATCATAACCCAGAGAATCACAAATTCTGTGAGAGGATCTGGATCTTCCTGGGACCCTGAAATCATTTTTATTTGTCTCATTTATTTAAGCCTTCATTGCCTACTCATTTGGGAGATTGTGGGCCTGATGAGACTGCAGTGACTAGGGGATAATAGTAACACAATGGGAGATGGTAACCAAAAATTGGGAAAAGAAGGTCTGAGTATATAGTGATAGGAGACAGAAACCTGATGTCCTGAGGGAGCAAAAATCAATAAACAGAGCCCAGGGAGAACTGTTGTCTTTTGTAAATTCTGGTAAACTGAGATTCAAGGCCACAGATAATAGCTTTTTCTTGGAAGTCACCCTATTTACCTGGGATGTTATCAGCTAGCACTGTGTGAAATTAAAGTTTGTGTTTGGTGAATGCCAGAAGGCAATAGAGATGGCATCTTGTATTTATAAAATTAGTTATGCACATTCTTTAGCCTGCTTTTAGCCCTCAATAAATGTGAGAAGTTTCATTGGCTAAAGACTCATTTGAGTGAGACTGGGCTCAGGAGTCCTCTGACTATATTAATCCAGTCTTCCCATTGTTTCTTTCGGTTCCAACTGACAACATACAACATGAGTATGTGACAAAGTGTATGGAGACAACTGAGGTGGAGGATACATGAAAGAAAAAGATACAAAAAATTTCCAGTATTCTTAAGACAAAATACAAAAGTAGATATTGATTATACATAAAATATTTTGTTCCTTCCAAATTTTCTTATTAGAGATCTCTACTGATTGACCTACAAAAAATTCTGGCTATTCTGCTTATAATTACAAATTTCTAGAATTATAAAAGTTATTATAATTTAATTTGGCCAAAATATATACTTGAGTGTACTCTGAGTATGTAAGCTGATGACTGTGTATCTATTTGTTGTCTATTTATCAGGTGTTTTTGTTTGAGCTCAACAATTTTTTTTTTTATGTGTGTGTGTGTGTGTGGCCAGCTCAGCCCACCAGGGGGCGTTCTGGCTGGCATGTGGTGCTGGGGGATTGAACCGCGGTCCCTGTGCTTTGCTAAGCTTGTTCTAAGTAGGTGCTT